CTCTTATCTAGTTTAATAAAGAGTATAGTTTCATTTGAGGATTAACATTTCTAAAGTATATTAAAGATACGCCAGTTTACAAAATAATTTATAGTATTTTGAAGGGAATTCAGAAGTTAAATCAGAGCTTAAAGACTAAGACAGGGGTGGGGGTTGTGGCTCAGCTGCAGAGCACTCACCTAGCATGTGCAAGGTGCTGGGTTCGATCCTCAGCACCACATAAAAAATAAATAAATAAATAAAACAAAGGTATAAAAAAATTTTAAAAAAAATTAATGAGATATACTGGGCCTTTAGGAGTAAAATAACTGAGATTGTTACATTTAATTTTATAAGAAAAGCTTACGTTAATGTGCAAACTGGATATTTTCTGATGATTCACTGCAAATATCCTCAAGTAGGCCAACATCTTGATCCTCTGTTATTCTCTGAAAAAAACATACAAAATCATAAAACTATATATTACAAGTCTGTAAGACATATAAGTCTTATATAAGGTAAAAATGTATTACTCTTAGAAAATAGGAATGATTTTAGGTATCAAAAACTCAATGTATCATTCAAAAATTAAAATTCTGACTAAATATGAGAAGATTCTTTTTTTAAATTTTTATTTATTTACTTATTTGTTCTAATTTGTTATACACGACAGCAGAATACATTTCAGTTCATAGTGCACAAATGGAGAACAATTTTTCATTTCCCTGATTGTACACAAAGTAGAGTCACACCATTGTTGTCTTCATACATGTACTTCGGTAATGATGTCCATCTCATTCCACCACCTTTCCTACTCCCATGACCCCTCCCTTCCCATTGCCCTAGCCAGAGTTCCTCCATTCCTCCCAAAGTTCCTCCATTCCTCCCACCCTCATTATAGAAAAATAAGATTTTTTTAAACATTTATTTTTTAGAAGTGGTTGGACACAATACCTTTATTTTATTTATCCCAGCCCTTCATTTATTTATTTTTATGTGGTGCTAAGGATTGAACACAGGGCCTCACACGTGCTAGATGAGCGCTCTACCACTGAGCACCAACTCCAGGCAGAGAAATAAGATTCTTAAACTTAAAATGATCTTTATTTTTTCATACACTTTAATTCTTAAGGAAAGATATGGAGATATTATTGAAATCCATTTATTGAAATTGCAAAAACACCATACCAACCAAAGTACATTTTTATGTAAATATACAGAATGAAGTATAAAAATAATTTGTACCCACCCCTGCCTAGGAGAAACTGGCAATTATTTTGCTTTCCAAAGACTAGGAGGCGGGCTGGGAATGTGGCTCAAGCGGTAGTGCGCTCGCCTGGCATGTGCAGGGTGCTGGGTTCAATCCTCAGCACCACATAAAAATAAAATAAAGATGTTGTATCCACCAAAAACTAAAAAAAATAAATTTTAAAAATTCTATCTCTCCAAAATCATGGAATTTGCAGGGAAATGAATGGCATTAGAGCAGATTATGCTAAGTGAAGCTAGCCAATCCTTAAAAAACAAATGCCAAATGTCTTCTTTTATATAAGGAGAGCAACTAAGAACAGAGCAGGGAAGAAGAGCATGAGGAAAAGATTAACATTAAGGAGGGAAAGGGAGAGAGAAGGGAAATTGTATGGAAATGGAAGGAGACCCTCATTGTTACACAAAATTACATATAAGAGGTTGTGAGGGGAAAGGGGGAAAAAAAACAAGGGAGAGAATTGAACAACAGCAGATGGGATAGAGAGGGAAGATGGGAGGGGAGGGGAGGGGGGATAGTAGGGGATAGGAATGGTAGCAGAATACAACAGTCACTAATATGGCATTATGTAAAAATGTGGATGTGTAACTGATGGGATTCTGCAATTTGTATTGGGGTAAAAATAGGAGCTCATAACCCACTTGAATCAAAAGATGATATGTCATGAGCTTTGTAATGTTTTGAACAACCAATAAAAAAAATTCTCTCTCTTTAAAATAAATAAATAAATAAAAATAAAAGTTTAAATTAAGAATATCCTTGATGAGGCAGTAAAAATTCTTAATTTTATTATATCTCAACCCTTGAAAACACACTCAAGGGTACCTATATGATAGGGAAATCAAATAGGATGCATAAAATGCAGTTGCAAGCTGCATTTGCTAATTTTTTTTCATTGAACACCATTTATTAAAAAAAAATGTTATTCAAACTTGGGTATTTTGTAGACTTTTTCTTTAAAATGATAATTCACTTCAAAGAAAGCAATTGATAGTATTTACTGCCAGTGATCAAGTTCAAGCTTTCAAATGATAACAGAACCTTGAAAAACTGGCATCTGTCACTGTAGGCTTGACAGCCTAACTTAAAAGATATTCATGAAGAAATCAATGGTGATACTAATGAATTGATTTTTTTGATATGACTTAATGATATGTGTATTTGGAAGGTTTCATAACTCAGTAAATAGAGATTTCCCAATCAATACATTGTTTCCAAAATCATGCTTGAATAAAAGATCTATTCTAAAATACAACAGACACAAATACAAAAGAGCACAAAAGATTAACTAATATAATTTGATTCTATATTGTAACTAATCTTTATGAAACTATCATTTGTCAAAGTCTGAAATAGTATCAAAGATGTCCACAATTTTTTGCAAAGGCCATTAAATACTCATCTTTTCCAACCATACATCAATATCATTATATGCTTTTGATCACCACAATTTCAAGACTGGGTATCTACTATATACTTTTGGTAGATTTAACAAAATAGTTATGAAATCCAATTTGATTACTGACACATATACAGGAAATACTGTTTTTAAAAAATATTTTTAGTTATAGACAGGCAAATATCTTTATTTTATTTATTCATTCATTCATTCATTCATTCATTCATTTTGAACTCAGGGCACTTGACCACTGAGCCACATCCCAGCCCTTCATTTATTTATTTTTATGTGGTGCTGAAAATCGAACCCAGTGCTTCACTCGAGCTAGGGAAGCGCTCTACCACTGAGCTCCAACCCCAGCCCCAGGAAATAGTTTTTTAAGAGAACATTTTGCTAGCATTGATTTGTTTGGCTTATTTTTATCCCACAATAATAGATGAAAGTAAGAACAAATGATAAACAACATAGCCATATCTTTGCCTTCCCTATTTTATACAAATCAAGGAGTGCTAATTGCTCAACCTTTAACTTCACTTACTTTCCCTTCCTGATTCAGAAAGAAAAAGGTAATTAATGATTTAGGAAATTATAAATGAAAACATATATTAATTTAAACCAACTGATTAAATTTTCCACAATCTAATAAAAGAACTATAACAACAGAAAACAATAAGGATAAATCTCAAATGTTAGGGGAAAAAAATCTATACAAACTTATCCCATCTGGTTTCAATTATGTCAAGAATATATAGGTAAAACTAATCCATTATGTTAGAAGTCAGGATAGTGTTTACTCTTGGGAGTGCTAATAACAAGAAAGAAGGAAGAGGTAGGTTCTGGGACACAAGTTAAAGTAATTTCTTGATCTGGGTGCCGCCCACACTAACATGTTCAGGTTTTAAAAACCCACTGAAATGTTCATATACAGTATATGCATTTTTCCACATTGTTACACTACAAAAGTCTTACCAAAAAAAAAAGATTGAAACTAGGTTTAGAATCAGAGATATTGCTAGAGTCCCAAGTCTTCTGAAATCTTGGATAAATCACTTAAAATCTCTGCACTTCAGTATTTCACATAGCACACCACAGGATTTGGCCTAAGAATTCTTATTCAATAAGAACTGTCTACCTTTGCCTTCTAGGCGTTGGGGTTAAAGCAATGAACAAAAGCAAATAAGCTGTGTCTTCATACTGCCCCTATTGTACTCAAGGGATGCAGATAAACAAGAGAATAAATAAAATACACAGTATTTTCTATGGTGATAGGTGGAATTAAGCAAGATAAGGGAACTGGGGCACAACTGTAAGGTCAAGAAAGTTCTTACTAAAATGATGACATTTAAGCAAAGACCTAAAGTAGGTAGGGAAGGCAATGGGAAGGGGAGCATATTCAAAGTAGAGGGATTATATAATTTATTGCACGTGAAAATACACTTAAGCTAGTTAGTATTAGGTCTGTTTTAAAGTAACATTTCATTAAGAAGATGGAGCCTTACATCCAAAGCACTGTTTTAATGAAACGAATACTCTCCTTTGGTACAGTTATTTTTCCTCCAATAAATGAAAAAGGTTTCAAACTATAGGGTAATTAAGAGAACTTCGGTGCAAAATAAAAAGGTAAAACTAACAACGTTCTTAAATGTACTTTCTTGTGAATTATTTCCCTGGTGTTACTGAAGGGGCACTGCAAAGCAAGTCCACCCAGGTCTTCCTCCAATGCACCAAAAGGTCTCAGAAAATTCTGGAATTAGTCCTGAAATTCCAGAAAACCAATAGTCTATTTCTTTTCTGGCAGTTGATAAACTCCAATAATTTTACTTTCCCATACAATAAACTTTCATTCTTCTATATTCTATATCCTTAATTGTACATACATTATAATGACAGGAGGAAACATCAGTCATCCTCGCTGAAGAATAGAGGAAAAAACGTCCATAAATGAGGAGAAATCTAGGAGCGGTGGGCAAGAGGCCCTGCTGTCCATCTCTGTGGCTGGCTCCGGCAGAAGCAGCCAGGAAGGTCAGCAGTGCCCAGCGCCGGGCAGGGTCACAGCACACAGGTCACAGTAGTCTCTCGGGGCGGTACCCACCTTGCACTCAGTCGTGCACTAGAGGCCACCTTCTTTTCGAAAGGTTGTAAGGAGCAAGAGGCACCGACTACTTTCAAGTCTGCAATAGCCCCACGTTTCAACCAACTCAGCGTCCACCCTCTTACCAACCAGAGAACCTAGATTCCTATCCTTCTGACTCCTCAGGCAGCTTCTCTTCGGCACTTCCGGTGGTGCATCAACCAAATACCGCCTACCAGCAACTTCCGCCCTTCTCGTTTAAAGTGAAGAGAGGCTCGGAACGGTTGCGCTGCGCGTGCTCTTCACTCGGCAGATTTGAAGGGTAGCTCTTTCCGCTTCCGCACTGCGCGGAGTCGGCTTTTGGGTCTTGGGTACCCGAAGATTGAGAGCTTCTACTCACCCCGGAGACTGCACCCGGGAGCTCTGCGGCTGTCATCATGGTAAGAAGTTGTCTCTGGCGCTCGCGGCATAAGGCATTTGAGTAAGTGGAGCCTCGGAGCCCACGGTAATGGGGCGGGGAGGGAGAAGTGGCAGGCGGAGACGTAATGCTGAAGAGGGGTAGCTGCCGCGGAGTAAGCTCCAGGGAAAAGAAACTTTACCTTTGAGAAATAGTGAAGTATTGGTCAGAATACGAGTCTTGGAGCGAAATAGATTTCATTCTGTTAAATTCCTGGTTTCAACACGTGTGTGGTCACCAGTGCCAGGGCCCATTTGGAATGTGGTTGAGCCTTGAGTTAAAACTCCACGGTAGGTATTAATCGCGCCATCCCATTTTGTTGCTGAGGAAACCGATGGGTCCTTGTCAAAGGCTAGATGGCGAATGAACTACGGAGCTGGGTTTAACTGCCAAATCATTTCTCTTTCGACTGCATCTCTGTTTAAAATGAAATTCCTCATCCTTCCCTGTTTATGCAAAGTTTATGTGATAGCAGTTGAAAACAATACTTTCGTTAACTTAAATTTGTTCTCTGAGCTGGAATTGGCTTTGCATCATTATTTTTTCAGTCTTAAAATCCAGATAGACTCTGGCTATGTGTTTAAAACAACTGTTGTTTAAAATGCAAAATTGAGCCCATATATAACTCCCAAGCAACTTTGGTAAAGCAGTAAACAGACAAGACCAGCATATAACTGTTTATTAAACTATTCCTGATTAGCAAAAATTGTGAACAATTCCAACATCCATCATCTGGTCATTGAATAACAAATGGTGTTTCATTCATAGAATGGAATAGTATTTAGCAATAAAAGAGTTTGAAGAACTGATACAAGGTGAATGAATCCCAAAATTCTTATTCTGAAATAAGAGGCCAGATTCAGGAATTTCCCCTTTATGTATATGTAGAAAGTACCAATCAAAAATAAAGAAAGAAAGGTGTGAAAGGAAGATCAGTAAAGAGAAAGTGGGGAGAGAGGAAAAGAGGGTGAAGGGGGACTGAAATCAAATTCCTTGTATCCATTAGCACTCTGTTCCGGGAAAGGCAAAACCATAGAAATAGATATCAGATTGGGGGTTAGGAAAGGGGATTGATTTCAAAGTAATACAAAGGGAACTTTTGGGGGTGATGGAAAAAAATTCGTTATCTTTATTACAGTGATTACAGAACTGAATAATTGCTCAAAACCTGGAACTGTACACCTACACCTAAAAAGGGCAAGCTTATGGTGTTAATGGACCAAATTTTTAAAATAAAAAGTACAAAATAATGGTAATGTTATTGAATTCACAGATTACCTATGTCAGAGAAAAACCAATAGAAAATCATGTAGTCAGCTCATCTTTTCAGTGATCCAGTGGGTTTTGGACAGTTCCCTTCAGTGAACAGTAATTGTCACTGAGATTATTACAGATGTAAATTCTACTTCATATCATCTAAGCTAAATTTATTTAACTTACATCATGTGGATAAACTTAATAATACCAGAGTCACTTACACAAGAACATTTGGATGATATGATATCATGTGTACTTTATGTGCTGTAAAATAATTTTGGAGTAATCTTGTCATTACTTTAAAAAATTAACTTTTCTTGCATACTTATAGCCACAAAATGAATACATTGAATTACACCGTAAACGTTATGGATACCGTTTGGATTACCATGAGAAAAAGAGAAAGAAGGAAAGTCGAGAGGCTCATGAACGTTCAAAGAAGGCAAAAAAAATGATTGGCCTGAAGGCTAAGCTCTACCATAAACAGCGCCATGCTGAGAAAATACAAATGAAAAAGACGTAAGTGAACCCATTTATTTCTTATAACAAGTTAATATTCTTTGGATAATAGTCATTAAACAGATAATTTTGAATATATTTCTTTCTTGATAGTATTAAGATGCATGAAAAGAGAAACACCAAACAAAAGAATGATGAAAAGACTCCACAGGGAGCAGTGCCTGCCTATCTCCTGGACAGAGAAGGACAGACTAGAGCAAAAGTACTTTCCAACATGATTAAACAAAAGCGAAAAGAAAAGGCGGTAAGCAATAAATATTTAAGTCTCTATTTCTTATTTGTTCGGGAGAATTACTTAAATTTGAAGTTCTTAGTTTATATTTTCAGTTTAATTTGAAACATGAAGGGAAAGTATTATTACCATTATTTAGATGTTAAAAGTCTTTAAAATTTTTGTAAATTTTATATTTAAAAATTGACTTATCACCGGCTTTTAGATATTAATGATTTTTTAAAATGTATTAGAATGTCATATCTTTTGTGTTAAAAATTAAGCGAATAACAAGTAAATCTAAAATTCAATATTTAATGACTTCCTGTACTTGAATGCTCCTAATGCTATGCTGTTGTAGAGTAAACACAACTACTTTTGGTTTTATTGCTCTGCAGTGCCAGCACAGGTTCAAATGGAAAATAATTACAAATTCCCTAAATAATTTGATTTCAATAAAAATTCAGATTACTTTTGCCATAGAAACATAAAATTCTGTGAAGGGGGGCATAGATATTTTTAAATGTGAAATGTGTTGACAGAAACACAAAAATATGCAGTATCTGTATTAGAATGAGTTTGTAGTCTCCAGGCTTGATTTTTTAAGTCTTACTGCCTTATTTTATTTTTTTTTTGATTTGTAAATATCCAAAACTAGAATGGCATGACTTTATTTTTTTTATTTTATTTTTTTTAAGAGAGAGGGAGGGAGGAGAGAAAGAATTTTTTTTTAATATTTATTTTTTAGTTTTCGGTGGACACAACATCTTTGTTTGTATGTGGTGTTGAGGATCGAACCCGGGCCACACGCATGCTAGGCGAGCGCGCTACCGCTTGAGTCACATCCCCAGCCTTGAATGGCATGACTTTAACAGTGAAAGAAACTTTAGTGGTTATCTACTTAAAGTCTTTCATTGTATAGATGATGATAAATCATTCTTCATGGTCACTTAACTATAAAATGGTAGAGCTGCTCCTAGAACCTGTCCATGTCTCAGAAATAAGTCCAAAATTTTTTATGCTGCCTTATACTGCTACAATGTGTGTTAAATAATGTTTTATATATTTAGTGTGTGAATGTTAATGTATATGTATGTTTATACACATGCACATGAATTTGTATTCTAAGGAGATATAAAACATCTAGTGAAGGACTTTTATCTCCTACAATCTAAATATCCATTTGCAGTAGAAATGCAAAGTACATTAAATGGAAACAGTCTTCCAATTTTACAAACTAGTAGTAATGCATATATGCTCTATAGAAGTCACTACTTTATTACAGATGGTATTTTTTACCCATAACAGGGCAATAAGATTTTTAGCTTAAACAAACCAATTATTTAACATACCCATGAATACAGACTTAAAAAACAACTGAACCATAAGCTAATGGTTAAGGAAAAAAGTGAATCTACAGCTCTGAACAACTAAAAACATATTTAAGCTATAGTCTTACTTACAATACAGATTTTAACTCTGGTGTATCATTAGGGAAAATGGGAAGTCCCCCTTCCCAAGGTTCGTGCCCAGGGAGAAACAGAAGTATTAAAAGTGATTCGAACAGGAAAGAGAAAAAAGAAGGCCTGGAAGAGGATGGTTACTAAAGTCTGCTTTGTTGGAGATGGCTTTACAAGAAAACCACCTAAATATGAAAGATTCATTAG